TGACACTAATTGTAACTTTCTGTTTTGAATATCATTAAAGTTTGATTGTGGTATTTTTCAAGTGTGCGTGCAATCGTGAAATGCCCCGCATTCCGGATCTCACATCAGATTATGCTACACTTTCCAGAAATCTGCTTGCAGTATCGAAGTTATCATTACATGCGCTGAGTGTCGGTCAAGATTCTTCAGCTGCAATTGCAGTTTCATCGTGCGTGTGACAACTGTAGCTCGCGCAAGAAGCGGAGGAGTCCACGACTAAGGTGGTGGACTAGTCCGCCTCGGCGACGGAATGCGCCCTCTACCAATCACTACCCCACATACAAGGTCGAAAGCCGCGAGGGCCCCTTACGCGCAACCCGCCAAAAAGACATAACTTCTAGAACATTTGTCGGCTCGACAATAGAAGATACAGAAGTAACATTGAACCTAAATAGAATAAGAGTGAGAGAGAGGTGCATTCATAAGTAATTGCACTCGACATCAGCAAAGTGTGGAAGATGCTTGACGATATTATATCTGCTTCAGCGCCCCAGACGAGGAGACATAGGTGGTCTTCACTACTCCGTCATATAAAATGAAGACAAACCTTGCAATATCTTCGCTTGACCGTGGAGATGTAAACATACATTCACTTGGAGGCATCACACAGGCGTTCGTCATGATTGATTCCTTTTGTCCTGCAACAAAACCGTATCAAAAGACAGCATTTAAAGCAGAGTTCGGGCTCAGACCCACTTAATGGCTAGAAGCGCTAGGCACGCAAGTGTAGGGGTCGCGTCACTTCCCTACTTCGAAAACCGTTATTTAGACGCTAGGCTCTAAGAACTTTGACACGCTCCACCTGCTGCGACACGCTCCGCCCACCGCTCGATATCTTGACTGCGTCGGAATGTTGATCTGCTATGCTCTCTCTACTTAGACTTCTCTAGCGCTCTCCGCGCTCACATTATCTCTCATCTCCCTGCCGGCCTTTTGAACTTCTCCGCACCGTAGAGGAAATGGCTCGTATTTCCTAAGCATTTCACGATTTCTTTTTCTCTTTTCTGCACTGGCGGTCCACTACCTACCCCTACTTTCACATTTAAGTGGAATTAACTCATAATTCAATCCTGAATCTTGCCTTTAAAAGATGAACTGTAAATTATATATAATGTATGCTAATCCAGAAACATAACAAGACGAGTTTATTAGATGTCCGCTCTTTTGAAACCTAAGCATGCCAAATGTTTCTTTTGTTTTGCCGTTCAGATTTATTATGATGGAATACACATTGGCCGACCACTTAAGGAAATCTTCCACGGAAAATGGACCAGTGGGCGGGACCGGAAGTGGTTTTGCGACGAAATGCATGGTAGGTACGGATCCACGTTCATGGGAAGGTTTGAAGTGAATCCTGTTCACGTTCGTGCGTTCGACACGTGGATCCGTACCTACCATGCATTTCGTCACAAAAACTTCCGGTCCCGCCCACTGGTCCATGGTCCGTGGATTCCCTCAACAAATTGCCGTATTCAGAACCTAGAACTGGCTCGAAGCTTTACTTTTTAGCTTATCCGTTTACACCTCAATACTGCCGTTTAGGTTTTCGAGGAAGCTCAAAGCAAAAATAGAATTCAGCAAATTACCAACTTATTATGATGCCACCAGTCTTGAACCCACATTTGGCTTCGTTGTCAGATGTCAAAAAGTGAAGCCCTTACGAAAATATAGTACGTGCAGGGCTCAGTCCTTTCGCCATTAGAACCGGAGCTTGCCAAGTAGAGTGAGGAGCCTTCAAAGACTCTCCCTCTTTCGGTGTGCGTGTTCCTTAACCCGTTGGCGACAATGTGATTTTTCGCGTGTCTGCCACGTGGGACCACGCCTTTTTCAATATTTTCAAGAAATGAATCATAATGCAGCAAACCATCACCCATCACATCAACCACCAGAAATATCGAATCTCAAAGCAAAACTGTTGAGACTTTGCATGTCTCAAACTGTTGCCGATCGCTGCCAAAATGAGTGTTAATCTTTTTGTTTTGTCCAAGGTGGATTTCGCAGCGAGACAGAAATTTTTCAATTTTCTATTTTATTAGGTTGTCCCATAATTAGTGAATCACTTTGGGTATTTTTGAATTCAAATTTTTTTCTTTTTATGTGGAGTCTTTGCTCATCCAAACATACACTCTGTCATCTACAATGTATTGCCTATACAAGGAAATTTAGTCGCTGTCTTATCTCTAGAATTCCAGGAGCTATTGATCGAAGAAAGATCGGAAGTCGAGTTTGAGGTCATGTCACTTAGCGTAAAATTTCTTCCTGGGGAAGAGCGCTAGAGGTCAGACTGAGTTGTCTTTTGTTGGCACGAGGATAGGGCCACACGGTGGAAGAACTGCTAGCCTGGAGTCTCCAATTTTTTATGAATATTCTCCGCAAGGTGGGGTCGAACGACCTCAGGAAAAAGCAGACTTTGTCTTGCTTTACTTTCAAATTGAACGCGTCGCCATTACGCTGTAGATGTTGATCTTCTTCAGTGACCCTAGTATTACTGGGCGGCGGTTCCCAGCGCAGGTCACTCGTGCTCCACCAATATCTCGGAAGGGTCGGACTAGAAGGAGGTTCGGCTTTTGCTGTCAGAACTCCCGAATCTTCATGCTAGGCTACTGCTCCTTGGAGATTTGCTAGTACACTTCACCCAGTCCAGAACCCTGGTGAATATGCTGGATGATCACTGTAAGGAACTAAGGGAGATCAGAAGGAACATGATGATGTCAGATCGTGTGTGGAGCTGTTTCGGGCTCAGAGCATACAAGATACAAACTAAATATTTTAAAATCTTTACAACTCTACGTAGATGTCTACATTCCATCATTTTAACAAGTCGGACATGCTCTAGCAAATGGCGACTAGTTTGTCCAGATCCACCCTCAGTGGCGCTGGGTACAGCAGTGAGATTGCCAGTTGAGGGGTAGTTGGAGTGTGGGTCATCTTCAACTAAAAAAGCCAACCTCTCGATAGAGTGAACTACAAGCAGACCGTGGATTGAGGGAGCGTGCCCTCGCCTATCTGCTGGTAGATTCTCTACATATGTTGTTAGGC